TCCTCGTTGGACTTCGACACACCGGCTCGATCTCTTCCTGGAAGTCGAACCCTTGACCCTCTTCCTCCTCAGACGCCTGGCGAATGATCTCCTCCCGTTTGTCACTGAATCTTACTTTTGGTTTTAACCCCTTTGGCTTGATTCCATTCCCATCTGGTATCCTGCTGTCTCCCACCTGGTTTCCATCCAACCCAACCAAGTTCTTCCCATTCAGCTCATTCTGCAAATTCACAGACATCTCCGTGGCCCCTTTTCCCGGCTTGGTTTCCACCAAGGACGTGCTGCTTCTGAGACTGAACTCCTCCTCTTCATTGGAGTCGAGCCCCAATCCATCCATCACTCCTAATACGTCTCCCAGCATAGAGGGGCCCAGATCCAGGTCCAGGTCTAGGGTGAACGAAGACACTGACCCGGAATGCTGAAGCTCATCGTTCTGTGTGTCTCCTGGAGCATCCGTGTGAAGATCACTGTGGTTAACTGCCACCTCTGGATCAGCAGCTGGCACGTCCTCTGGACTCCCTGCGTCAGGGTTGGATTGACTCGGGCCAAGCGTGGACAGAAACGAGGTGTCCCCAAAGGCGTCACCTCCCCTACCGATGTGCATGGTGTGGCGGAAGTCACCCAGTGGCGCTGAGATCATGGTGGGGTCCAGGCGAGGGGCCCGTGTTGACTTGTGAAGCGGCATAGCTGTAATCAGGGTGAAGGCGAGAGCAAAACAGTGGGGGGGGTGAATGATCATTTATTTCACATAGCACTGAGGGAAAGAAGGAGTCTGAGCAAATGAGATTACATTTTGAACACACAGATAACAAGTGAGCACTGGTCCTGATAAGACAAGGCGGCGTTAAAAGCTTCACCACATTGTGCAACCGTGTGGGGAACCGATGAGCGTTTTGGCACTGGCGTGGCTGTGACGGCCATGCTGAGACTTGTACTTGAAGCGCACACATGCAACGCTAGCACATACTTTTCTCTCCCCTCAGGCGTGTTTGTGGACAAAAACAAGACTGTAACATTCTATAGGAGGAACTTGGTGTTTAATCACACTGCTGGGTTGTGCTTCTGTGAGGGGTGGGAGGGGGCTTAAATGTACATGTCAGCAGCATGGCAAACTAATCCTGCCGCAACATTGTTTAATGAATAAATATTACAGTAGGTGGCAGCCACTGTTACTCAATATATTGTTATATTGAATGATTTCTTACAAGTTAAGACCCTTTAATGACATTTTATTTTCCTTATAAGAAATATAGGCCACATTACAAACCAGTGTGTTCATTGAAGACACTACTCTCAAACTTTGGATGTGTGTGAGTTAGCTCTGGGAGGGGAGGGGGCTCACAGGCCTAACTCCAACCCTCAAGACTTTCCACTGATAACTTAAGTCAATGACACTTTACATTATAGTTACATATTCAATCCAGAACTTATCAGAAGAGCATGCGGGGCCAACACTTCCTGGCGAAGCAGTGAGGGGATCGTTCAGGTGATCAATGTAAAACTATCAATCGATCACAGTAATCCGTCATGAAATCGCTCAAAGTGTGTGAAACTTACTCGAAGCTGTGTGTTCCTCTCTTCGTCCTCCTCACTGCACGAGCTGTCTTTTCATGGGGCTCTTCGCTGGATCTGCCCTCTCAGTCGCTTCCCTCGCTCTTTTTCTCGCCGTCGTTCGTGAGTCTGTGTGACTTTTTTCTCTTTCTTCCACAGGGATGGGCGCAGGGCGAGGAAGTGACGCCACGTTATTGGGGGAGAGCAGCTGGATCAAAGTGCTCTCCACACACACACACACACACACACACACACACACACACACACACACACACACACACACACACACAGGTCAAATATAAACCAGCGAACAGATTTTTTATTTATTGTTCCTATTTACTACAGTTATATTGTTACAATTGTGGCCATTATTAATTAACAGAATACATTTAAGTAAATGAGTTTAAGTATCCAGTTAAAAAGTATCAAACTGTATCTGAAGTCAACTTAACTTTTTATGATTTTGGAAAAATTAAACGTGAATTTAAAATCAACGAGTTAAAGAAGGCTATAACTTATGTTCTAAAAAAATAAGTGATAGTGCTTCCACTGTCAACAAGTGTTTCAGCTATTTCAGTTTTATTATGTTCTTTATTTCTTTCGTCTATCTATCTATCTGTCTTTTTATTGTAGTTGTTATGGACCAGAGGCCAATAAATAAGCAACAAAAAATATATTTTTTAAGTGTCCTATTAAAATGCATCAAACTGTAACTAATGTCAACTTAACTTTTTATGTTTTTTAAAAATTAGCGATAAATATTTAAGTTAAATTAGGCATTAACTTTCTTTTTGTTCTTTCTTTCTGTCTATCTATCTTTTAGTTTATTCATGCAGTTACATTTTTAAGTCCTGTTTGAATGATGAGGTCAGATATATTCTATATTTTTTATCATTGCAAACCAGCCTCCAGCTTATTCATTCCTCCTGAAAACAAAAATCTTTAAAAACATTTTGATGTTTAAAGTGAAAAAAAGACAAAATTATTTTCTTGGAAGCTGGGTTTATAGTTTCTTCCAAACCTTACTCCATCAGGAAGTAATAGTGCATTAGTTAGGGACTATTTTCAGCAGAGGATTAATCCACATTTGCTTTGGTGAGAAGTCAGAACTGAGTCACAATGAGCTGCAGTGTGTTTTGTTGTCAATGGAGGGTCAGGCTTTGGTTACTAGACAATTCCTGTAAATTTGAGAGAATACATTGTTTGCTTTGATCTTTTTAAAGGGGTTGGATTGGAACATGGACACTAGCCTACATAAAGTGAAACACCAATGTAAACCCTACACAACCCAAACTAAATTAATTGGCTCAGAACTTTGTCTTGATTTAAATGAAAAAAGAATTTAAGTCTACCCAAATCACTTCCTGCATTCCAAGACACCAAGACAAAAACTGACGTTAGTGGTAGAATCAGTGAGCTGAAGTCACTTGTTACAGACTCTTTTCAGGCTGTGTTTAAATTCAATGTCACCCCCGTGTACCAGACAATTTCAATTGCAAACTGAGATTATTATGACAGATTAATTATGGAATGTAGTCAGTGAAGCCAACCCTTATTTAGTTGTGCCGCTCAAATGATGAAAGCATGTTTTTGAAGGGTGTCTGTCGGGTGCATGATTGACTCACAGCCATTCATTGGAACATCCAGTTAATCAGGATTCATCTGGAAAACGAAATGGAGAGAACCTGACTTTGCTTTTAACAGCAGTGGAGCATGAGAGGCTTTTCAGGATTACATATTATCTAGCTTCCTCCCAGGGGGGTAAAGAAACAGGAGCATTACCAAACCATAGGTATTCAGACAATGGTGCTAGGTTGTGAGTCATTGTTTGTGCGATCTTGTCACAAATGCTGAACATATTTGTGTGATGATGTAGCCAACAACACAACAATGGGAACGAATCATTCATTCAGCTGGCACAGGATTTCATTCACAAAGAGAAATGAACTGGAAAGTACCAATAATAGAGTAATTTGAAAGCTTGTCTCTTGAAATCTGATAGGACTGTGGCCACTAAAGTTAGGTATTATAAAGAAAATGCTATGTAAATTTGAGATGAAGGCTATGTCAGTATTACAAAGCAGTATTGAAAGACAGTTAATTTTCATAGGGGAAAAACCAGGATACATCTGAGTCTGTTGTTCAATTTGGTGCCAGAATGTCACCCCCAGAGGAATATATCCTTAAATATCCTTAATAAGACATGTTGACGCCTGCTTTTCATTACAAATAGCAGTAGAAATATTATTTGCACTCCACAGAGATGCAATCCATAGAGACCTCCAAATTATGTGGGGGATCCAGTGTGGGACAAACTCACTGACAGGAAATGACTCCTTTCTGTGTAACATACACACACAAACACACACACGGAGAGAGAGAGAGAGAGAGAGAGAGAGAGAGAGAGAGAGAGAAACAGGGTGACACATCCTGCAGATGTGTGTGCTGTACAGGAAGGTAGAGAGAACATATATGCATGTTGAATGGTGAATGTTATGTCCTAGATTTATGATTCTTGATGGGTTGAAGACTATTTTCTTCTTTCCTTTTTTTTTTTTTTT